AAAGTAATTAAAGCTCCAGTCTTCTGAAGACCTTGAGCTGTGGGGAGAGATAGCAGCGGTGTTCCTTGAGAGCTTCTCCCAGCAGGTCTGGGTTGACAAGGAAGAGGGAGGCGGGAGCTGGATCATCTCTAAGCCACCATGAGGATTTGGGATTTCATTCTATGGCTACTGAAAAACTTGTGGAGGATTCTGAGCATGGATCCTTCCTGGCTGTCATGGGAGAATGGATTTTAGGGAAAAATGAAAGTCAGAGGCTGATTCAGAGGTCCAGGAAGGAGAAAGGGACATCCTGCCCTTTTATTAGAGAGTCCTTTACACCAGAGGGCCTTTGCCTGCTTCAGGTGGCACTTTGAACTTTAAAGGGCTGCCTTGAGCCCTTTGGACCAGGAATACCCTGACAGTCTAGAACCATGTTGACCACCTCAACGTCTCCTGCTGTCCCTCAGGGAGTGGCTCCAGGAGACCTGAGTTGCAGCTCTTTCTGATTCATCACCCACACTCCAGGAAGCTAGCTGTCAGTCAGCCAAAGAATTGAGTGTCTGCCTGGGGAGAGCTGGGTTCTCCTCCCTGTGGCTTCCAGGAGGTACTACAAGGCCCTCCCTACACAGCTGAAATCCAAGACAGACACACCTTGGAGGACAGGCACACCTTGGAGATAATTGCAGGTTGGGTTCCAGACCACCACAATAAAGCAAGTAATGCAATAGAATAAGTCCAATGAATTTTTATATTTATTTCTAAAATATTATTAAAGATTTACTTATTTGTTTTAGAGAGAGAGAGAGCATGAGTATGGGGAGGATCAGAAGGAGATGGAGAGAGAATCCTCAAGCAGACTCCCCGCTCAACAAGGAGCCCATCGCAGGGCTTGATCCCAGGACCCTGAGATCATGACCTGAGCCAAAACCAAGAGTTGGATGCTCAACTGACTCAGCCACCCAGGCACTCCATTTGAGTCAAATGAAGTTTTTGGTTTCCCAATGCACATAAAAATATGTTTATACTGTAGTCTAGTAAGTATGCAATAGCATTATGCCTTAAAAAAACAAGATACATATCTTAATTTTAAAAAACACTTTATTGCTAAAGGATGCTAACTATCAAGTGAGCTTTCAGCAAAGTGTAATCTTTTTGCTGTGGAGGGTCTCGCCTCAATGTCCATGGCTGCTGACTGATCAGGGTCATGGTTGCTGAAGGCTGGGGTGACTGTGGCAGTTTCTTAAGACAAACTGAAGTTTGCTGCATCAATTGACTCTTCCTTTCATGAACAATTTCTCTGTAATATGTGATGCCTTTGGATAGCATTTTACCCACAGTAGAACTTCCTTCAGAACTGGAGTCAGGCTTCTCAAATTCTGCTGCTGCTTTATCAACTAAGTCTGTGTCATAGTCTAAATCTTTTGTTGTCATTACAACGATCTTCACAGCATCTTCACCAGGAGTTGATTCCAACTCAAGAAACCGCTTTCTTTGCTCATTCATAAGCAGCAGCTCCTCATCCCTTCAGTTTGATCATGAGATCACACAATTCAGTCCCATACTCAGGCTTTACCTCCAATTCGAGTTCTCTTGCTGTTTCCACCACATCTGCAGTGACTTCCTCCACTGATGTCCTGAACCCCTCAAAGTCATCTACAAGGGTTGGAATCAGCTTCTTCCAAACCCCTGTACATGTTCATATTTTGACCTCTTCCCATGAATCACAGATATTCTTAATGGTATCTAGAACAGTGAATCTCTCCCAAAAGGTTTTCAATTTATTTTGCCCAGATCCATCAGAGGAACCACTATGGCAGCTATTGCCTTACAAAATGTTTTTTTTTTTTTTATGACATCGCTTTTTAATTGAAGGACAAAAGTTGGTCACATTCAGAGATAAGTGGGCCTCATGCAGATAGTTAAAACCATCCTTCTCTTTCTTGGTTAACCATCTCTTAATTTCAAGTAACATCCATGAGTTCTTTAGGACTATCTGAAATTGTCCTCTGAGGAACTCCACCACACCACCTCGTAACACACATGACCACACGCACTGCTGGACGGCGTCTCACTGGATATCATCACCATACAGATCTTCAAAATCATTTTAAAAGTCTGCATGAACTGCCTTCTCATTGGCTGCCAAGTCCATCAGAAGCCCCGTGCTGCCTCCTGCCTTGTCCAGGTCCACGTAGGGCCCGGCGCCCTCAGGGAACATATCGTCCACTGCCCGCTTCATCTTGCCTGCTGGGCCTCCTGCCTCCCCGGCCCACTTCCGGCCCACCTCACAAAATATTTCTTAAGTAATAAGACTTGAAAGTCACAATGACTCCTTGATCCATGGGCTGCAGAATGGATGTTGTGTCAGCAGGCATGAAAACATGAATCTCATTGTCCATCTCCATCAGAGCTCCTGGGTGACCAGGTGCATTGCCTGTGAGCAGTAATATTTTGAAAGCAATCCCTTTTTTCTGAGCAGTAGGTCTCAGCAGTGGGCTTAAAATATTCAGTAGACCACGTTGTAAACAGATGTGCTGTAATCCAGGTTTTGTTATTCCATGTATAAAGCCCAGGCAGAGTAGATTTAGCATAATTCTTTCGAGCCCTAGGATTTTCAGAATGGTCAATGAGCAGTGGCTTCAACTTAGTTACCAACTGCATTCGCCCCTAATAAGAGAGTCAGCCTGTGCTTTGAAGCTGTGAAGCCAGGCATGACTTCTCGCCAGTTTTCCAAGTCCTAGATGGCATCTCCTTCCAGTAGAAGGCTGTTTCATCTATATTGAAAATCTGTTGCTCAAGTCCTTCAGGAATGACCTTAGCTAGATCTTCTGGGTCACTGGCTGCAGCTTCTACATCAGCACTTGCTGCTTCACCTTGTGATTTTTTTTTTTAATGTCATGAAGACAGCTTCTTTCCTTAAACCTCATGAACCCACCTCTGCTAGCTTCCAGCTTTTCTTCTGCAGCTTCCCCACCTCTCTCAGCCTTCACAGAATTGAAGAGAGTCAGGGCCTGGCTCTGGATCAGGCTTTGGCTTAAGAGAATGTTGTGGCTGGTTTGAACTTCTATCCAGACCACTGAAATTTTCTCCGTATCAGCACCAAGGCTGTTTGCTTTCTGATCAATCATGTGCTTACTAAAGTAGCACTTTTCATTTCCTCATGTACTTTTCTTTTGCACTCACGAACGGCCAGCTGGAGCAGGAGGCCTAGCTGCCGGCCTGTCTCAGCTTTCCACATGCTTTCCTCACCAAGCTTAGGTATTTCTAGCTTCTGATTTAAAGTGAGAGACATGCGACTCTTCCTCTCACTTGAACACTTTAAGAGGCCAGTGTAGGATTATAAATTGGCCTAAGTTCTTTTCTTTTTCTTTTTTTTGTTTTTTTTTTAAGATTTATTTCTTTATTCCAGAGTAGGGGAGGAATAGAGGGAGAGAGAATCCTAAACAGACTGCTTGCTGAGCGTGGAGGCCAACATGGGGCTCGATCCCACGACCCTGAGATCAGGACCCAAGCCAAAATCAAGAGTCGGACACTTAACTGACTGCACCACCCAGGCACGCCAGTTGGCCTAATTTCAATATTGTTGTCTCAGGGAATAGAGAGGCCCAAGGAGACTAGAGAGATGGGAGAACGGCCAGTGGAGCAGTCAACACACACATGTATGGATTAAGTTTGCTGTCTTAAATAGGTGCAGTTTGTGGTGCCCCACAATAATTACAATAGTAACATCAAAGATCAGGATCACAGATCACCATAACAAATATAATAACAATGAAAAAGTTGGAAATATTGAGAGAATTACCAAAATGTAACACAAGAGATGTGAAGTGAGCAAATACTATTGGAAAACTGGTCCCAATAGACTTGCTTGATGCAGGGTTGCCACAAAGCTTCAGTTTGTAAAAGACGTTAATATCCGCAAAATGCAATAGAGCAAAGCACGATAAAATGAGGTATGTCTCCAAAGCAGTAGCCCCAATTTAAGGACAAAAGTGAGAGTAGGATGCAGAGCAAAGGAATAGTCTTCATCTTTCTCTGATCCAGATGGGTTTGATCAAGACAGTTTCCCCAAGTTCATTTTGAACCAGGTTGTTTTTGGTTTTGTTTTTTTTTTTTCATTTATTCATCAACTATTTGAGGCCCACCCTTTGTCAGGCCCTGTGGTCAGTGCTGGGGATGGAGCGATGACCAAGGCAAACAGGAGCTGTGCCCTCAGGGAACTTAGAGTCTCCGAGGGAGTCACCTACGCTAGCAGGGTGCTTCCTGTCCTCCTTTTACTTCCTGGGTCCCTGCAGGAATGTCGGGGATGAATGGTGAGGGCTCCCTAATATGGGCACATTATATGGCCTTGATGGGACTTTGACTCAGAGACTCTTAAGTGCAGACTCTCCAGGCCTGTCTGCAGAGTTCCTAGGCTTGGGATAAGCCTGGCCTCAGCCTGAGCCAAGAACCCCTGCCTGTTTCCTTGGCACATTAATGAAGTAGAAGTTTCTGCCACCCCCTCTGCATCCCGGAGACACAGAGCCACTGCATATGATAAGGCACTGGGTTGGGTATGAGCCGCTTGCCCACAACTTCCTAAGCACATGGCCTCATCCATACCTCCGTGTGTTTACAAGGCTGAGGCATGTGCTCTGCTAGCCCCTGGCCCCTGTTCTTGCCCCCTTCCTAACCCTCTGGGACTGGCCTCCTCTCTTGAAAAGCCTCTTTACTGCCACCTCCTAAGGTGAATGACTTCCCTGTTGCCTTTTCAGGCTAGCAAAACACCTTTGAGTGCCTCAGCTTCGGGAGCATGGCATTCAGATGCAGGCTGGGCCAAGATGATGTTTTACAGATGGAGAAACTGAGGCACAGTGAGATCAGCTAGCTACTGCTTGTCAGGACCACCCAGGTCTTACCTCTCTCAGTCCCCCATTTGGTATACCACTCTCAGCAGGAAGGCACATTATCTGCCCCGATCACTTCCATTCTCCCTGATCCGGGCCATCAGGATAACATGAAAGAACACGGCATGAGAAATCTTAAGGAAATAAGATTCATGTTTTATTTCCACAAAGAAATCCCAAAGCAGGAAGCTTCTCCTGAAGAACTGTCACAGTGACTTCAGGTCACAAAACAGAGTAGGTGAAGAAAGTGGCAGGTTTATCCGATGAGGTTTCTGGACAAGGAGACCCCACAGTTCAGTTGGAAGAAACGAGGGACAGACAGACCAGGTTCAACCTGGAAAAAGCAGGTGTCAGCACCCAGACCAAGCCTGACACAGGGAGAGAGTTGGGGGTGGGGCACAGTTGTGCTCCTTGATGGCTGATGTTGTTCAGGACCTCAGTTATGATTGGAAATAATTTTCTAGAAGAAAAGAAAGAACAAACAGTAGAATGTGGCTGCTCCTGAATGTGTTGAAACCGGGTATCCTTTCATCCAGCCTCTACGCTCCCAGTTTTTTGGTGTCCTGCCTGTTTCACCTGCACGTTCCCTTACTCCTGCTTCTCCCTGAAACAGATTTTGTGGTTCTGCCAAGTTTATCTTTTGCCCCTTCCCCACTGGCGACTCACTTCCTCCTGCCTTTGAGCCTTTCTCTGCAGTTACCCCAGACCCTTCTGTCCTGTCCCTCTCCTCCACCTCCCCTTATGGCTGTCCCTGCATGGCCCTGCCTCTGGCAGGCCTCCACTCAGCGCTCAGAGGGTGCTTTCCGAGTGTCCTTGGTCATTTCCTGATGAGTCTTTCTCCACGCCCCACGCTGGGGTCTCCTTCTCGATGCCTTTAGAACATCCACCCAAAGCAAAGCGAATGCCAAGATCCCAGCCCTGCCCCTGGAGTGGCTGTGCCTCATCTCCTGGATGCAGGCTTGCACTGCTCACTCTGACACTCACCTACCAGAACTTCACCCACTGCAGCAGGCCAGGGCGCACCTGGGAAGCCTGCAGGACAGGGAGAACGTCTGAGTGGCCATGGCCATGGCCCTGGCCTCAGGGAGAACGTCTGAGTGGCCATGGCCATGGCCCTGGCCCTGCATACCCTCTGGCCCCAGACCCCTTCTCTCAGGAGCCATATTTTCTCTGCCCCACTACTCACCGAGGAAGAAGGCGTGGCTCCCCCCTGGAAAGAGATCAGAGGAGGTGATGTGGGGCTACAGTGACCTCTGCCATGTCTTCGGGGCCCAGGGGCAGGCTCAGACCCAGATTATCTCGGAAGTCCTTGGGTCTGACTATGGACTGAATGGACTTTCTTTCAAAGCAGATTTATCATCCTAAGTACATTTACCCAAGATGAGCACACACTGGCCAAGCGGAGTGAACAGAAGGTAGATAGGTAGATAGGTGTCCTTCTGCCTGCTAGGTGGATGGATAGAAATTGGCCACAAATCACTGGCGAGTGGATACCCACGGGCAGTGTTAGCTGCTTCTTTACCTGCTTCCAGTCAGGAGGTGACTCCTGATCTCTCAGCAGAAGTCCTGTCCCTGAGGCCAGGGGCTTCCTTGTTCTGAGAGATGGAGGGAAATAGCACCTGTTTTTTCTTCACCAGCAAAATTAGTATTTAGCATGTTCATTTACTGAATTTATAAGATTGCTTTCTTTGCAACTGAACGAAACAAAAGTCTCAGGGTTGTTTTGTTTTGTTTTTTTCTGTTATTTCCTTTGTAGAACGAAGCATTAATTTTCCCACCAACCACAAGTTTCTGGGCAAGCCTCCCCTAAGTGTTAGTGTGCCCCCCTCTCGCCCTCCCTCCCCCCACCCCCCACGAAAGTCAGCAGTTAAAGAGGTGGAGAGAGCAGACACTACTACATGGGAAGGCTGCTAGTTTGGCTGTGTGTCATGTGAGGTTTTTTTAGAGCTGTATATCACTCTTTGAGAGGATGTTGGTTCCCAGTTTTCTCCAGGGCATGTGACATAGCTGCTGCCCCCTTGTAACCTTTTCTGAGTGGGTGGGTGTGGAGAACATTGAACCTCCCACCCTCCACTTCCAGATGGCTCTCAGGGAGCCCGAGTCTCCCTACACAGGGGCGAGACATGACTTTCAAAATGAACAGGATTCGGCCTCAGCTAAGCCTGGCCGTGAAAGCCTCCCTCCCTCACCCCCCATGCAGAGACCCCAGTGGGGAAACAGGGCAGTTGGAGTCTTACCTTAGAGGGGATCTTGGCTGAGTACTGCCCACCAGAGGGAGTAGGGTATGCCTGCTGGTTATAGGTGTTCTGTGGAAAAAAGCCAGGTGGGGAGGGGGCGGGGGGAGGGGAGTGTTGGTAGAAGAGAAAGGATGAGGGCATTTTGCTGTGGAATAAATACCCTGGCTCCTGGCCTGGGCCAGACCTGTCTCTAAGCCCCCGCTTTCCCTCCTTGTGTCATGCATTTTTTTCTATAGAATCTTCCTTCAGCCAGCCAGAGCCCACAGTCTCACCTCACTTATAGTCCTAGTCCAAATGGCCCTCCTTTCTCCTTCCCTGGTACCTCTCCCAGCTCCTCAAGTGTTACTCGGGAGATGAAGGCAGGAGACCAAGGAAATGAGTGAGGTTTTTTGTGTTTTTTTTAAGATTTTATTTATTTGGGGCGCCTGGGTGGCTCAATTGGTTGGGCGACTGCCTTCGGCTCGGGTCATGATCCTGGAGTCCTGGGATCGAGTCCCGCATCGGGCTCCCTGCTCGGCGGGGAGTCTGCTTCTCCCTCTGACCCTCCCCCCTCTCAT